GCGGGACGAGTGGTCTCGTATGGACGGACACGTTTCTTGAGCCGATACCGTGTGGACGGAAGACTTTTTTTTATATCAAATTCGGTTTGTTCTCCGTTTCGTCTCTGTGTAAACGGAGCCTTAGAGCTGCACCCACCTGATACAGATGCTCCGAGTGGATCTGCCAGAAGCTGCTGGGGGCCGACTGGCTGAGCGGACTGTGCCTGCTGGGGCCTGGCCCGGAGCTGGAGTTGGACCGGGGTCTGTGAGCTGGAGGGATCTGGACCCCAGAGGCCGGAGGAGTATCGCAGGGGGCCCAGCTGAGATGAGAGGACGAGGCCTGGCCCAGATCCTGCTGGGACGGGGCCGGAGTTGGGGGGGAGTCCACGCTCTCACAGGAGAACTTGGTGTAGTAGAAGTCTTCTTCTCTCTGGGACTGATCTGACGCACTGCTGTGTGTTTGGACGGACAGGGTAAAATGAGTGAGTTGTTTGTACGGAACATTAATGAATGCATCACACACTTTGGCCCAGATATAAAATCTCACAAATGTTTCATCACTTCCCGCAACTAATGTTTTTCCCTCTTGTTTTTTCAATGCAGCTCAGACTACAATGGAGGAGTCGCTCCAAGGCTCAAATATTAGAATGTCTAACAGGGATAAAATGCCCTCTTTATCCTATCTCCATAATTATAAAATCAGCTGCGTGATTTCTTCATGTTTTAAAAAATAAAACCTGTGGAAATATTGATAATAATTCCAAATTAGGTGTGTGTGTCTACAGAACGTCCAGTTGTGATAGACACAGTTCGCCACTGATGTATTAACATAAAGGTACACCATATACAGTGGGGCAAAAAAGTATTTAGTCAGCCACCAATTGTGCAAGTTCTCCCACTTAAAAAGATGAGGCCTGTAATTTTCATCCTAGGTATACCTCAACTATGAGAGACAAAATGAGAAAAAAAAATCCAGAAAATCACATTGTCTATTTTTAAAGAATTTATTTGCAAATTATGGTGGAAAATAAGTATTTGGTCAAAAACAAAAGTTCATCTCAATACTTTGTTATATACCCTTTGTTGGCAATGACAGAGGTCAAACGTTTTCTGTAAGTCTTCACAAGGTTTTCACACACTGTTGCTGGTATTTTGGCCCATTCCTCCATGCAGATCTGCTCTAGAGCAGTGACCCCAAAATTACGGGCCTCTCTCATCTTTTTATGTGGGAGAACTTGCACAATTGGTGGCTGACTAAATACTTTTTTGCCCCACTGTACATTTGTATACTTTGCCTCTTTAAGTTAATGGGAAAAGTATAAATAATCCTGGGCTTATACTTTTTTTATACCTTACAATCATTTTCCTTCAGTCCCTAAATTATCTAAAAAGTTTAATTTAAAACGTAGCTTTTGTATCAGCGCCAATATTGATATATTTCAAAGAATAACCATCACATATAAGCCTGAAACTGATGTGATTGTAATTGTAACTCACCCGAGATGCAGCACACGGATGTGTCTTTTTATTCCGACTGAAGACGTGAGCACCTTGCCACAGCTGGGCCACAGACACCTGTACACACTTCTGAAAGAGCTCTGAGGGAGAGAAGTAAACACGGCACAGGTAAAGCACATGAAAGGAAATAAGGGGAAATGTGAAAAAAGACACAAAGTACAAAGAGAAAACAGTCTTAACATAAATATATACCGCTTTGTACCTTTGGCTTTTTGGCATTAAACTCTTCCCCCTGCTCCAGCTCCATCTGTAGGCCTTCATCGGGGCTGCTGTCAATCTCAGTGACGGACGGCGAGGGGGCAGGGCTTACGTTGCCGTGGTCCCAGCTCCAGTAGCCACTGCTGCCACTGTCGGAGAGCTCTCCACCACCACACTCCATGTCAGCTGAGGTCGAGGCGGCTGGAAAACAGGAAGTAAAGTTTCAAAAAATGCAATGCTCTCTGTTCCTTTATGCCTAAAATAGACACTGTGCATCAGGGACTGCTGCTCTCTTCTCTGCCCATTCTACAGACAACAGCAGGGGTTCAATAAGTGTGCCAAAGTTTTGATATGTCTCTATTTTCTAACAGTTTTACCATTGTATCAGTTTCTCTGTACCCTGTTTATTGCTATTTGAAGCTATATAGGGTTTATTTCTGGCTAAAAGGCGCTGGCTTCTGGTTGAAAGTCCCTGAACTGTTAAAAAATAAGTGGCTGGGGATGGCTGGTGTCCCCAGCGCCTTTCTGAAAAGTTAAGAGTTCATCAACAAGAACCGTTAGGAGTTGTTGCAAAAAAAAGTAAAAGAAATCTGAAACAATGCTGGCCTCAGCTATTTTTTACCAGTACAGCCCTATACAGCACATGTTCTTTTTAATGTTTAGGAACTCAAAATAAATGATGTTTTATTTTTGCAAAATTCATAAAGCCATCAGTTACAACTTAAAAGCTTTTTCGAAGGATATTATAAAGTGGACATACAGTACAGGAGTGAGGCCGTGTGTAGAAGGGGGACAGACAGACCTGGTCCAGGATCACTCTGGGGAAGGCTCTGCACCACGGGGCTGCAGGACAGGCTGGTCAGAACCATGGCCGCCATGATCTCGTCCATCTCCACTGACTCCGGACTGCGGAAACTAAACAAAAGAAATATCATTAGACTTTATGAAGACCACCTTCAAACACTTGCATACTGTTCCCTGTCCCTCACCAGTAGGGTGCCTCTCTAGCAGCTGACCTATTGCCCAGGTGCATTGTGGGTCCCACAGAGTGAGAGGGGACAGCCACGTTGCTCCAGCCTCGCTCAGCCTCCCTCTGCAGCTGGACTGATGTCCTGTTCTTTTGGTGGCCGCTCTCCATCAAACCTTTTTCAGCCTGGCACCTCGGTGTACACACCTGTGGAAGGAAGTGATGAAATAATTAATTTGCATATTTAAACATAACATTTTCAGCAATGATTGTCCTCATGTGAGAAATACCCGGGGGGAATTACACTTTTTAGCCTTATTCCCCTGTAGTGTCGTACAACATGTATGGAATTTAACAAAAGTAGAACAATCTTTAAAGGTGTTTTCACAAAATGTGTATTTTTCCCATACTTTCAACTACAAATCTCCACTTCAGTAGCCTTCCATACACCAGATGTTTCAGTTTGATACTTATATCTATGATTTGAAGGATTTTACTGCAGGGTTTGTTCATTTCAGTTATATATGATTTAAATAGCATTTTATTCCTTAAAAACATAGAAATTCTTTATCCTAAGGCTGTGAATTATAAATGATAAATTAGCAAAAAATGAATAAAATTAAGTAAGAATGTGCGATAATTTTTTTTAACTTAAAGGTGGGGTAGGTACTTTTGGAGAAACCAGCTCGAGTGCGCTAGAATTTGAAAATACACAACCGGAAAAAATCTCTTCCTTACAGAGCCCCTCCTCCAACACACACGAACGCGCACATGACCAATGAGGGCACGAGATAAGTTTGTGCACAGATGGAAAGCTAACAGGCATGTAGGCCATCCAGTTATTTTAGCCGGGCCAGCTAAAATTATTGGTCGTGCTTTTTACAGTACTACGGCTTCCACAGATGACATTTTTTTATGGATTTTTTGTCAAAGCATTTATATATTCATTGCTATCGGGATGTTAAGAGCATTCCATGGAATATAACAAAAAGTATTTCTGAAATAAATGACATACCCCACCTTTAAACATACAATAAAATCAAAAATATTAATGTAAAAAAAAGGAGTTAAAATAAAAATGTGCATATTATACCTAAAAATGTGTACATTTCTGGCAGCATTGCCCTCTCATTTGCAGCAGCAGGTTGCATTATGCCGATATATAGGGCTGCTCGATTATGGCAAAAATCATAATCTCGATTATTTGGGTCAATAATTGTAATTGCGATTATTAAAAAAAAAAAATGTATAAATTAATAATAATAATAAAAAAATAATTGTTTTGTTTTGATTACGTTGTTTTCGTAATCGTTGCAAGCCATAATCGTAATCGCGATTAAAATACGATTTTTTGAGCAGCCCTACCGATATACAGGACTGTCTCAGAAAATTAGAATATTGTGATAAAGTTCTTTATTTTCTGTAATGCAATTAAAAAAACAAAAATGTCATACATTCTGGATTCATTACAAATCAACTGAAATATTGCAAGCCTTTTATTATTTTAATATTGCTGATTATGGCATACAGCTTAAGAAAACTCAAATATCCTATCTCTAAATATTAGAATTGATATTCTAATATTTAGAGATAGGATATTTGAGTTTTCTTAAGCTGTATGCCATAATCAGCAATATTAAAATAATAAAAGGCTTGCAATATTTCAGTTGATTTNATGTCGTTGTGTCCCTGGACACTTCACCCCAAATTGCTCCTGTGGGGATTGTCCACAGTATTGAGTATGTAAGTTGCTTTGGATAAAAGCGTCTAACATGTAATGTAAAAGGTTAACAGTAGTATAGAGCTGGTATAAATATAGACAGTATGATATAAAGAGAATAAATATAAACATACTGTATATTATTATAAACTTGAATAATAAGGTAATACAATATAAAAGTATCATTGCTTAGTGACATCTTAATCCAATATAGGGAAATAAATTTAAAAAAATAAAAATAAAATACCCCTAGACATTTGATTTGTAAATGCATTTTATTTTGTATATACATCAAATGATCCATGTCTTTATTGCTTTATTCATTAAAGACAGAATCCAAACCATGAACATTTCTAATAATAGTGTGATTGAGATGAGCGAACACGAGAATATTTCTCTGTATCAGACAAATAGCAGCACTATATGTTGCACATTCTAGCAATGTGCTTCAATACAGTTTAAGAACATTGGTATAGAAATGTAATATTCGATAGAGTATATATTTGGTGACAGTGACAATATAATATGAAAACTATTAATATGATGAATTTCCACTGATATAATAAAATATTATTAATTTATAATAATAATCCTTGCTAGGAGCATCTTAATCCAATATAGGGAAATTGTGTAAAAAAATACCTTTTCTGTAAATCAAATGCATTTTATTCTGAAACATCCAATTATGCATGTCTTTATTGCTTTATTGATCAAAGACAGAATCTAAATCATCAACATGTTAATGCTCATGTGATTAAGATGAATAAGCAGGGGTTAGTGTGTGCCTGCGACAGACAGACAGAGAGATGCTGCTGATGCTCGGGTAACCCCTCACCTAGATCATCCTTTGTGCACGGCGTGCTGGAGGTTGATTTCTCTGTGCTCTGCCCAGCTGCCAGCACCGGCATTGGCTCGCCTAACATACACACGTAGGCGCGTATCCGACCGACCAACCCCCTTCTCGCCGGCAGCAGCAGATTGGAGAGCCGGCGAACGGCGGGACAGCTAGGCAGCGACGACCAGCTGCTGCAGCTCCGACAGCACGGGAAGCACCGAGATCTGCACCGAACCAGTGAGTACCGGAACATAGTTTGTTTTTGTATCAAATCGGGAGGTTTTGTGTTGCAGGGAGCTCGTAAAAATGTTGTTTTCCTTCAGCAGTGGGAGGAGGGAGGGGGTTTTTCTCCTGATCTCAAACTGCGTTGCCGGGTGGAGATCAATGTTGTAGTTAAAGTATAATTAACCAAGACTTCTAATCAATGTTGTTATCATAGAGCGAGCCATATCCACGGCTATAAACGATGTTAACGTTGTTTTTGTTTGGAAAACTGCTCATTTAAATATCGTGTACATTAAATGTGCATTATTGTAGGCTACTTATAAAGCATATAGGCTATTGTGAAAACACTAAATGATATTGTGTTAAAAATTCATTTAAGCGCGTGTCACGCCTCCATAAACAAGAGTTTCATTGCATGTGCCTCTACATCAGCGATGACGTTATTGTTTTGTTCGTTTTAGCAACCCTGTTTGACCGCGCGACATGTTCTCTTTCTGTTATGCTACGGCTTATATTTAACTTCAGTGCGCTTTTATATCTCTTTCCGTTTAAAGGAATGAATAAGGTTATTTTCAACGGTGTTTCCCTCCTCCAGCCCGGTCCCCCGGCGAAACCCGTGTCTGAACACGTTGTCAGAAGGGAGGTGTGTACCTGAAAATCAGAGCTCAGCCAATGAGCGGAGGTACCCCGCCCATATGCTGGCACTTGTTTACTACTAAAGCTGGACGCTGATTGGTGCAAAGTGGGGGGAAATAGGGTTTTATGCTGCATTCGAAGGAATAGAAAATAATGGGAGAGTTGAGCTTCTCGTTGAAAATAGTGTCAGGCGAAAAGTTTTAACCGAATAACTTTGCACTTTTTCATCAGACTTCTATATGAGAACCTGTAATGGTTGTCATGTATTAAGGATTTATTACCTGAACAACATCCATTTTTTAGAAAGTATTTATTTTTGTGATACAAACATACTTTAACATAACATAAGGCTGAGTTAACCGTGTTTTGCTGTTCTACCTATATTGATGTTAATACAAATGATGTAAATAGAAATAAAAGCATGTCTAAGTTATAAAAAAAAAACAGATACTCATTGTCATCATCATAACCACAATAAATATTTATATTTTCATTGTTTAGGCCAACTAGCCCACATTTTCTTATGTCACTTGCAACATTTCAGAAAATAGTTGATTGGTCTAATCAAATCAAATTTCCTAGCCTTTTAATTTGTGTTCTGTTGTGAACTCAAATAAGCTCAAAAATTGAATGTTTCTGGTCTTGAGAACACTTTACACTACATGCCAAAATGTAACGCGAGATACGGCTGATACTTGCGCATTAGTTTCTGTTATGGATCAGTATCAACAGTCCTGCCAGTAACGTTACTATATTATCAATGCTACTTTAGTTATAGCCTGATATATGATAGCTAACTTCACAATGTTGTGATGTGACGTTAGCTAACATTCTGTAGCTTACGCCGGTCAGTCACTCACCAAGATAGCTGCCAAGTTCTCCACTGGTTCTCCTCACACCACAGCTCAATTTCTCTCCGATGGCCGTTATTTCTTCTAATCCTTGGCTGCTCCTGGTCTCTTGGACGCCTAGCAGGCTCATAATTATAAGGTTGTGGTCCGTCATATGCATTCGAATATTCATGTTCAACTTCTTCTGTGTCGAAACTAGCATTGGGATCCATGTTTATTAATACGTTACACCGGCGCTCTCCCCCTTGTTTCCCCCATGTTACGTCACACGCGGGAGGTCACGTGCCGAGGCTTTTTTATGCGGAAGGGAACATTTCTTACAAAAACGACGCCAGATGTCACTGTAGTGTATATTTCTGTATATATTTTGGAAAATCTAGTGTATTCATCATTTTCCTACACATTTATTCACAGGTGTCTTTAACCTGGAAGTTGCTCTTTAAAGGTGGGGTAGGTACATTTGAGAAACCGGCTCGAGATACGCTTTTTGTTATATTCCATGGAATGCTCTTAACATCCCGATAGCAATGCATATCTTAAGTGCTTTGACAAAAAAAATCATAAAAAAATATAATCTGTGGAAGCCGTAGTACTGTAAAAAGCACGACCAATAATTTTAGCCGGCCCGGCTAAAATAACTGGATGGCCTACCTGCCTGTCAGCCTTCCATCTGTGCACAAACTTATCTCGTGCCCTCATTGTTCATGTGCGCGTTCGTGTGTGTTGGAGGAGGGGCTCTGTAAGGAAGTGATACAAGAAATGTATGGGGAATTTTAGGTAGGATAAAGGTGATTTAAATACTAATTTAAAGGGGCATTCCATTGATTTTACCCAGGAAGTTCAGTTTACAGGAGTACTTGTTGATGTCATCAGGGTTATCTTTGGTTAATGTTTGAATACAAAAAGATACTATTAAGTTGCATTATGGGATTTGTAG